TATAGAACACAGGCAGAATAGATTTAACATAATTTTTTTTTGAAGCAGGATGTATTGAGAGAACAGAAAAGCTCCCACAGTGGGAGGGGACCCAAAGGGTTGCCCTTAACATAATTTTTAAGGGCCCTAGGATTTCCAGAATGGTGAATGAGCACTAGCTTTAGCTAAAAGTCACCATGTGCATTAGCCCCCATCAAGAGAGTCAGTCTGTCCTGAGAAGTTTTTAAGCCAGTTGTTGACTTCTCTCTAGATACAAAAGTCCTAGATGGCATCTTCTTCCAGTATAAGTCTGTTTCATCTCCACTGAAAATCTGTTGTTTCGTGTAGCCACCTTCATTAATAATCTTAGTTAGATCTTCTGGATAACTCGATGCAGCTTCTACATCAGCATTTGCACTTTTATGTTATGGAGATGGCTGCTTTAGTTAAGGCTAATGAACCAGCCTCTGCTAGCTTCCAGCTTTTCTTCTGCAGCTTCCCCACCTCGCTCAGCCTTCGTCTAAATGAAGAGTTAGGACTTTGCTCTGGATTAGACTTTGGCTTAAGAAAATGCTGGAGCTGGTTTGATCCTCTAGACCAGGAGCCCCCAGCCTTTTTGTCGTCAGGGACTGGTTTCATGGAAGACAGTTTTTCCACGGACCAGGGGGTGGGGAGATGGTTTTTGGAAGATTCAAGCGCATTACGTTTATTGTGTACTTTATTTCTAGATCCCTCACATGCACACTTCACAATAGGGTTCACGCTCCTATGAGAATCTAATGCCACCGCTGACTAACAGGAGGCGGAACTTAGGCAGAAATGTGAGCCCTGGGGAGCTGCTGGAAATACAGATGAAGCTTCGCTGGCTCTCCCATCACTCACCTCCTGATGTGCAGCCCAGTTCCTAACAGACCACAAACTGGTACCGGTCTGTGGCCTGGCAGTTGGGGTCCGCTGCTCTAGACCACTCAAACTTTCTCCATATTAGCAATAAGGCTGTTTCACTTTCTTACCATTCATGTATTCACTGGTGTAGCATTTTTAATTTCCTTCAAGAACTTTTCCTTTGCCTTCACAACTAGCTATTTGGCACAAGAGGCCTAACTTTTTGCCTATGTCAGCTTTGACATGCCTTCCTCACTAAGCATTTCTAGCTTTTGATTTTTAAAAATTCTTTTTTTTTTTTTTTTGAGTTGGAGTCTCACTCTGTCGCCCAGACTGGAGTGCAGTGGCCGCTCCCAGCCACCGCAGCCTCAACCTGCTGGGCTCCAGCAATCCTTCCGCCTCAGTCTTCCGAGTAGCCGGAATTACAGGCATGCGCTACCACGCCCGGCTGATTTTTTGATTTATTGTAGAGATGAGGTCTCGTTGCCCAGGCGGGTCTTGAACCCGCAGGCTCAGGCAATCCACTCACCTCAGCCTCCCAAAGGCGCGGAATTACAGGCTGAGCCACCAAGCCTGGCATCTAGCTTTTGATTTAAAGTGAAAAGTTGTGCAACTCTTCACTTGAACACTTAGAAGCCATTGTAGGATTACTAATTGGCCTAATTTCAATACTATTGTGTCTCAGGAAATAAGGAGACCCAAGGAGAAGGGAAGAGGGACCCAGTAGAGGGAGGAAGGATGGATTGATGGGGCTGTCAGAACACACAACATTTATCAATTAAGTTTTCTGTCAATTATGGGTGTGGTTCATGGCACCCCAGAACAGTTACAATAATAACAGCAAAGATCACTAATCACAGATCACCATAACAGATACAATAATAATGAAAAAGTTTAAAATATTGCAAGAATTATCAGAATATGACACCGAGACATGAAGTGAACACATACTGTTAGAAAAATGACATCAGTGGACTTGCTTGATGCCAGATTGCCACAAACCTGCAAAACACAGTAAAATGAGGTCTGCCTAAACTTAAATGACATTAATAATGTTATGGTGACATGCTCCAAAGACTATTTCTTTGCTTTAGAGGATGTAGCCTTCCCAACCATTATCCTCCAAGGATGCTGGTTGTGAAGTTTGATGACAAAGACATTTCACCATCAGGCAATGACACTATAATAGTATGGAACACAGTACTGTTAGCTGGTGAGGACTTGAGATGGATACAGATGAGTTATTGCCCATGTGTAGTTCCAGATGGGGTGGTAGTAAGTGGTTCATCTGACACCATCAGGTTTGAGACTACACTAGTCTTCTAGGCCACATAACAAAATACCACAGACAAGTTGGCTATTTTTTTCACAATTCTGGAGGCTGGAAGTCCAACATCAAGATAATGACACAGTTGGTTTCTCCTGAGGCCTCTCCTTGGCTTGCAGATGGTACCTTCTTACATGGCCTTTTTCTCTGTGCACAGGTGCTTCTGGTGTCTCTTCCTCTTTTTATAAGAACACCAGTCCCATTGATCAGGAACCTACCCTATGACCTCATTTAGTCTTAATTACCTCCTTAAAGGCCACGTCTCCAAATACATTCACATTGGGGGTTAGGAATTTGAGGTGACACAATTCAGTCCATAGCAGAGTCACAGAGTATAGAACATGTATACAAGTTGTAGTGGGTCTTGCAAAACGAGGGTACTTTATTAGGTTATGTAAGAGGAGAAAAGTGGGTTCTATAATAGGAAAAGATGTAATGTAGGATCTTATAGTTTTTTGACCCCTGTACCTCTAAAGGGAACCTTTTATTTTACACCTATTTTACATGCTTGTGTAAAATTTAGGAAACATTTTCAGACTTCAGTTTGATGAGCTCCAGATTGTCAGAAGGCCACACAATGACACAAGCCTGATGTGGGACTTTCTGAATGATCTTGTTGCCTAAACTTAATTTGTCCTTGCTGTCCTTCTCAACAGCCACCTCTGGCTCCAGATAAATAAGCATACACTGACTTTGTATTTGTATAACACTTATTCAAGGTGTGGTATTTCAGTGTGCCAGAGCCAAGATGAGGAACAGCAGGAGCAAACCATCACAGAATTTCCTGGGACGAGGGCTTTGGGAGCACAGTGGGCCTGCTGCATGACCCAAGATGGTTGGTCTTCTCAGCACAAATGATTGCTTAAGTACTGCTGTCCAAAAAAAAACATTCTATCCTCCTTTTCTCTCTGCTTCCTCTTGCCCATATTTGATTCTAATCAAAGATAGCCTATAAATGTGTTTAGTTTGGGGGAGAAAGAAAGAAAGGGAGGGAGGGATCTGGGGAGACATACTGAGTTTGCTTGACTTTAAGGAAATTATTAAATTTCTATAGACATCAAATTCCTCATTTGTAAAGTGGAAGTAAGGATACTTGCCCTCACAGGGTTGTCATAAAGATTCGGTAAAATAGCACCTAAGCAATGAGTATGGTATCTAGAACATGGCAGGAACTCACAAATGTTAATTAGCTCATCTTCTATGACAATGCCAGTGAGGAAAATGAAGAGAAGACATTTGGAGAAGGAAGAACAAAGAGAAAAGATAAGTTTCCACTTTGACATAAGAGATTTGACATAAGAGACTAAAGCTACAAAAATCTATAAACTTTAAATAACATACTGCATAGCATGTAGTAAATTAGGTCCTATTGTAAGCAGTGCAATAGGCATTGTATTTGAGCCATTGAATTAAATGATTATGACTGTCTTTATATTGTATATAGCAGTTAGGTCCAAAACTTATCAGTTAAAATTGCCTGACTGATGTGTTAATAGCAGTTAGGTCGAAAACTTATCGGTTAAAATTGCCTGACTGATGTGTTAATAAATATTGTTAAGTTGATTCAAAATTACCAGAAGCAATTAGGTAGAAGTAATGGAATCCTCTGCTTAAACCTTTCTTTGTCTTCCCATTGGCCCTATTATTGAGTCTGAAGTTTTTCAACATGTGTGATCTAATCCTTACTTACTCCTGGAGCCTCAGCTTCCCCTACCGTTTTATCTAGGCTCTCACCGCTAAAGTCAGGTACCCACCATACTGAACTATCTTGGGTTTCTCTTCCCTGGTCTCTCACACATGCTGTACACACCGAGAGATACTCCAAGACATACTTTGCCTCTTTTCAGGTGGCTGATTCCTGAATTATCCTTTAGTTCTCCTGCAAAACCTAAATGAGGTACCTCTTCTAGGAATTATCCTATACCAGGCATGTTAGGATTTCAGTCATTGTTAAGTGAATGAATCAGTAGTCACCTAAATGCAAAGAATGATAATGATGATTTTCCATTATATATATAGTGGTATAACCTATGCATTTTCAAATGCCATTTAATAGGTGAAAAAACAGCAGAATAAATATATTCTTTGTTATACATGTTATTGTGTTCTTCTTTATACAGTGCATATCAGATCTAAAATGAATTGAGGTCTCTCTCCTTTTAACTACTATAAGGGATTTGTAAAAGCCTCTGCAGCCACTGCCATATCATTTTGACTTGGAATTTTCAAAAGAAAAAGAAATTAAATATACTGATTACGGTAACAACACAAAGAAGAAGATTCTTATAGAAATGTGTGTAGAGAAATTTATCTCAAGGCATTGAAATGTGTGTAGAGAAATTTTTCTCAAAAAGAGACTAACAATAAACCAAGCAGTGCAATCAGGTAGTTCTATTGAGCTTTTCCTCGTTGTAAAACTGTTGACCTGAAGAATTTTTTTCAGATGCATCTGCTTAGCACAGAGAATGAGATATAAAGGTAGTATAAAACAATTCTAAGAAAGTAAGTGGTGTGAGTTTTTTTATTTGCTTCACAAGTAATTTACTTTAAAAAATTAACATCTGCTATTTTGAAGCTAATCTTAGTGTATTGAATGCTCTTAACCATTTCTCAATCCCACATTCTTTTATCTTGCTTCTCCTGCTGTGTTCCCACCACCCCTGATCCCATTAGCAAACCTTGAGACAGCCTCAAATTTACCAAAGTACTGCTTTGGTTTCAGCTGCTCTCTGCAAGAGGAAGTGAATGTTGGGGGTTTTCTCTGTGGTACAGTTGTGATAAAGCTGTGGTGGTCTTATCTCTCTCTTAGGTAGTGGCTCTTTATGACTACACAGCGAATCGATCAGATGAACTAACCATCCATCGTGGAGACATTATCCGAGTGTTTTTCAAAGATAATGAAGACTGGTGGTATGGCAGCATAGGAAAGGGACAGGAAGGTTATTTTCCAGCTAATCATGTGGCTAGTGAAAGTAAGTTTTATGCTCTTTTCCTGGTTTACAAATATGGTATAACTGATAGTCCAAGATTTTATCATTTTCTACCTTTTAATTTACTCTTTGTGACCTTTGCATAGGTTTACCAATGAATATTGCTTTTCAGTCTCATGATGTAAAAAAATGGAAAGGCATGACTACACTAGAAAGCTATGACATTCTGAGATTGCAATATTGGCTTCACGTACTTCTTATCCCAGGGGACGTGCCCTTCTAGCTGCCTGCTTTCTTCTTCAGCTCCTTTGACCTTGCCCCCTGCTTCGTGCACAGTCTGTCAGCTCTTCTCTTGCCACAGTCACTCCTCTGTTGACTAGCATCTTCAGAACCTCTAGTTCCTCTCTGACACTCTTTTACTCTGCATACCTCAGTCCTAGATGGTTACTTGCTAAAACAAAACTACAATAGATTAAGCCCTTGTTTGTAGGGGTGGTGGGGGTAGAAATGAACTAGAGAAGAAATTCTAAATAGTAGAGTTTCTGAAAGCTAGATTAATTACTAGGCCTTGAGAGGTGAAAATAGAACACAAAGAGCCTGAAAACAAAGGTATCATTAAATGAGGAAAGAAATATAGTAGTGCTTCTTCAGAAGAATGCATTCTATCTGCAATAATAACTTGATAGCATGTTAGGAGAAGTACAATAGTCAGGAGTTAGGAAAACTGACTTCTAGTTCTAGCTCAACAACTTATACTGATATGCCTCAGTTTCCCCTTATCAAATGAAGAAGTTGAATGAAGAAGCTATCATCTCTGTAAACTTTCTTCTGGAAACACTAAAATTGGGTGGTTCTGATTCAAAATTTAGTATAAGGAACTTTGAAATTGAGAGCCATCTATGTTTTGAATATTTATTAAGTCTTGTTTCTGCAAAGAAGCAGTGGTTATTAATAATAATTGGTTTTCAGGATAGTCCCTGAAACTCTATTTAAGCCAAGACTATAACTAAACGAAAGTACAGTTAATTCTAACATTAGTTCTGAACTTTGAAAGCAAAAGAGATAAAGGAGGAAGAAGAATTTCTTCCATGATTACTGAGTGCTGGGCTCGGCCTCAATAAAATTATTTATTTTTGGCGCCCTCCCACTACCCTGTCTGCACCCTGACCCTTCCCAGTGCTCCTCTCCCCAGTTCTCAAATGGCCTTACATCTTAATGTAGCTCCCTTCCTCAGATGATCTACTGTTGGCAAACTCCTCCCCTCAGAAGTGCTAAGTGTCTCAAAATTGACTCACATTTCTCACCCATAACAAAATTCTTAATTTCTTAGGTTTTTTTGAATAACTTTTCAACTCTATTAGAAGTATATTGTTATGTTTTTTTTTTAAAGATAAATAATGAAAAAAACACAAGGCAGTGTAGAAAGAAGAAATTTTAGGACTGGTTAGTTTTCCTATAGGCATGAGACAGCGTTTCCCATAAGTTACGCACTTCTAACTTCCAGATTGTCTGAAATATCCAAGTTTCTTCCCTCTCTTTCCCAGTGTTGGCTCTCCCACAGGATCAACAGCTAAGGTTAAACAGGGGTAGCTTCTGTTTTTAAATCAAGAACTGCCTGGACAATTAGAGGCACTCTGAAGCATGTCTTTAATTTTAAGTAGCTATTACAATCCATTGTTTATTTTCAGATACAAGTGGAAATATTTTTTAAATGTTTCAGATACAAGTGGAAATATTTTTTAAATGTTTCACTTGTGGATCTCCAGGCGGGGTAGTATTAAGTGCTTTAACTTTAGACTCTAGTTTCTAGAAGTAACCTCATAGGCTTGCAAATGTTAAGATGCTATAGATGTTTGATTTACAGTAAGTTAAACAGCTAATAAGGTTTGTTTTTCTTCTTTAATAACCAGAATCAGACTCTGAAGCATAGTGCAGTGTTGGTTGATGGCTTCTTACAGAAACTAATTCCTTGTCTCTGTAGTGACCATCCTTCAACTGCTGAAATTCCTTTATTATATCCCAGAATAATCGGTGTATTCTTTTGGCATCAGTCACTGCTTCTTGCAAAAGCCTTGTAAAGGTCAGAACAAACAGAAGAAAATCTTAGAAAACCTGAGAATGTAATGATTGAATTCTCACACTTCATAAGGGGTTTTTTTTGTTTCCCTTTTTTCTTCCTTTTACCCGAGTTTAACAAAAAACTCAACTGCTCAGTTTTAACATTAGAGCAAAAAATGACTGTCAGCAGCATACTCTAATCAAAAAATAGTAAGAGAAATTGTCCTTCATCTTTATCTGAAGCCAAATATGCAAAGCAAATGATCTAAAGGAATGTATATATGAGTGGAATCTTTACCCACTGTTCAATTGAGAGCCATGTCCGCTAAAAGACCACACAATAAAAGAAACTGGTATGCCATTATTATAAAGAGCTTACTCTCTTTGTATTTTAAACCACTGGAAAGAAAAACATGATCAGCTTCTCCTAATCACATCTAACACCCCTTCCTTTTTTATTTTTAGATGGGTATAATTCAAGGATAAGTATACAAGGTCATTGTACAGGTAAAGTTTGGGCCTCACTTTGGTCCCCACTTCACCTAATCTGAGATTAGTTACCCTTATTGACAAAGTAACACCCTTTTCAATAAGAGATAAACCAAATAATAAGATTAACACATATGCAAAGCCAATTAATATATCTCATAATCTGTTTTACAATTTTGATCAAGTATATTTTAGCAGTTTCTCTCAATTCAGAGTTACTGTGAACTAAAATAGATGTTTGTTTGTTTTTTTGAGTTGAAGTCTCACTGTCACTCAGACTGAAGTACAGTAGCCACTCCCAGCCACTGCAACCTCGACCTGCTAGGCTCCAGCGACCCTTCCGCCTCAGTCTTCCAAGTAGCTGGAACTACAGGCGCGTGCTACCACACCCGGCTAATTTTTTTATTTATTGTAGAGATGAGGTCTTGCCAAGTTGCCCAGGCAGGTCTCGAACCCTCAGGCTCAGGCAGTGCACTCACCTCAACCTCCCAAAGCACTGGGATTACAGGCTGAGCCACCAAGCCCGGCTAGATGTTCCTTTTAACCCTCTAAAATTCACACATAGCTTTTTAGATTCAATACCCTATATAAATTCAATAGATTATATAGATTATAATCTTAGATTATAAGATTCTTAAATTCAACCATATATACAAACTCAATATTGTGTATAGTCCTAACTTCATGCTTATTCATTTCATACCATCTTCCAAAATTATCCTTTTGCCACACCTCTTCCAAAATCCTATTCTTCAGAGTTTGATGCACCTGCCACTCCTTCCATTAAGCATTTTTCCATCACCACATCAGAGTTTGTCCTCGTAATTATCTCTCTTGCAAGTAATGTCACATTCTATTTTATGTATAGTACAGTCTTGTGAATATGTCTGTCTGTGACCAGATTTTGAGCTCGTTGCGAGCTCCATATAGCCTCCAGCAGTGTTAGCAGATAGCCTTGCATGTAGCAGGTTCCTGGTAAATGTGTTTTGAAATAAAATGAAATAAGCCTCTGTGTGGCAATGTAGTAAATGAAAATGATATCTTCTATATTTCTGAAATCCTAGTGATTACAATTTTCTATTGATAGTTATGGTCTTTGATAACTAATGTGTAAAACTAAATTATCATAAGATGTATTTTATGTAGCTTATTGTTACATCAAATAATTGAATGTCAGTGTCTTTAATTTCATATCTGCCCTTTTCTCTCATTATTGTCTTCTCCCATGGAACAGGCTTCTCAATTTGATTACATGAATTCCTTTTATCAATTTCAGCACTATATCAAGAACTGCCTCCTGAGATAAAGGAGCGATCTCCTCCTTTAAGCCCCAAAGAAAAAATTAAAATAAAAAAACCTTCTTCAGCACCTCAAAAGGTAAATATTTTCAAGAATATCTGTTGCATATATACTTTGATTTTCACTCTTTCTGGATAAAATATTACTTTATTTTTCATGCTTATAATCCTTCATTGTTTGCATTGTTATTCTATTTTGATCTTGGCACCAACATCATTATGAAATATATAAGGCATATGTAATTATAGACATTTTCCAGATAAGGAAACTGAGGAGGCTCAGAGAGGTTAAAGTAGACTCACTCCCCAGTCACTGCCTAAGTGATAGGACAAAGACCCAAAGTAGAACTTGTGGCTTTAAGTGTGATACTGTATCCACTCTGTACTTTAGCTGTAATATTGACACGGTCATCAGCCCCACCTGGGAGGTACACATTTATGCTAGAGATCATGGAAACCACAGAATTAAGATGTTCTATCTTTCTGGAGCATTCCTTTTACTTGCTAGTAATTTTAAATGTTTTCAAGTTAAAATGAATATGGATGTGTTATCAGCCAGAGAAATGTCATATATTTTAGTCTGTGTCATCAGATCTCTCAGGAGTATTAGTCAGTATTCTTCTGATGTTAGTAGCACTTCTGATGTTAGTAGAAAAGTTTAATAAGCACTGTACCATCAGATATATTGCTTATTAAACTTGTTTTATTATGTGACATTAGCTTTTGCTTCAGGCTGAATAACTTCACTGCTTCATGATTCCATGAACTGCATAGATATATATGGATATATAGATTTTTTTTTTACAAATACATGTCATGTACCTATTACAGTGCCTTGATAAATTTCGTTGACCGTTGAACCTGACATGTGTCGTTCAGTCATTCAGCATGTATTTATCGAGTACTTATTCCATGCCAAGCACTCTCTTAGTCCCCACTGAAACAGTGAGTAGGAAAGGCTTACAAGCTGGGTGAAACACCTGCAGGCAGGCAATTCCAATAGACTCTGCTAAGAACTATAATGAAGATTTGTGCACAATGCCTTGGGAATGCATAGGAAAAAACCCTCTTAAATCTGCCTTGGGGGAATCCAGGAAGAGTTCCCAGAGGAGGAAGTGCTTGGCCTGAGGCATCTAGGATGAAAATGTGTTAGGTCAATGAAGTTAGAAAACACATGCCAGCAGTAAATGATGGTATGGTACAATTAAGTCTGGGCATAGGGTACAATGGAGAAGGTAAGAGAAGGACAGGAGCCAGGCCACAGAGAGCTTGGCATACTTTGCCAAAATGCTTTGATTCTATTATCCAGACAAAGGGGATCCCCCAAGGGTGTAATCAAGGGAGTAACATGGACAGATTTGCATGTTAAAAATATAATTCCAGCCGCGCTCGGTGGCTCAACCTGTAATCCCGCACCTTTGGGAGGCTGAGGTGAGTGGATTGCCTGAGCCCGCATGTTTGAGACCCACCTGGGCAGTGAGACCTCATCTCTACAATAAATCAAAAATCAGCCGGGTGTGGTAGCGCATGCCTGTAATTCCAGCTACTCGGAAGGCTGAGGCGAAAGGATCGCTGGAGCCCAGCGGGTCGAGGCTGCGGTGGCCGGGAGCAGCCACTGTACTCCAGTCTGGGCAACTGAGTGAGACTCCAACTCAAAAAAATATATATAATTCCAGCTGGGCTCTGTGGCTCAGCCTGTAATACCGCGCCTTTGGGAGGCTGAGGTGAGCAGATTGCCTGAGTCCGCGGGTTCGAGACCCGCCTGGGCAACTTGGCGAGACCTCATCTCCACAATAAATCAAAAATGAGCCGGGTGTGGTAGTGCGCGCCTATAGTTCCACCTACTCAGAAGGCTGAGGCGGAAGGATCGCCAGAGCCCAGCAGGTCGAGGCTGCAGTGGCCGGGAGTGGCCACTGCACTCCAGTCTAGGTGACAGAATGAGACTCCAACTCAAAAAAAAAAAAAAAAAAAATTATATATATATATATATATATATATATATATAATTCCAGTGGCAGCATAGTGGTTGGATTAGAGGTAACTAAAACCTAAAGCAAAGAAATTAATTAGGAATCCATGGAAATAAAGTATGAAAGCTTGAACTAGTAGGGATTGAGGGGAGAGGACATTAGCTATAATTGACAGAATTATATTTTATATATTATATTAACTATAATTGACAGAATTATATAATTATTTATAATTGATTGGATGTAATTAATGAAGTTAGAATCTAGGATTTTGCCAAGGGCCTTGGCATATTATACAACTGAAAAGATAGTGTTACCACAGAAATAATGAAATGAGTAAGGAAGATTTGGAGAGATCATAACAGAAATGGTGGTGGGAGTAGTAGATGATAAGTTTAGTTTTAGGTATCTCAATTTGTTAGTAATATCTGTACTGCTCCCAGGTAGAAATATTCACTGGGAAGCCAGAAATGCAGGACTGGAATTTGAGAGAAGGTAGAGCTTCAAACTCAAATGAGGAGGAATTAGAAGCTTATAATGAAGGCAGTCACCCAGAAACAATGTCATAGAGTTCTAAGAAAAGAAGACCAAGGACAAATCCCAGTTGACACTGTATTAAGGGACAATCAAATGAAGAGGAGAAGATTAAGGGAGAATAAAGGAAAAGGAAAGAACGAGAAAAAAGAGAGGTGCCCTGGAAGCCAGGGGAGAAGAAAGAGCTTCAAGGAGAGTATAGTTGGAAACAGCCGGGCAGTTAGGTTGTCTAAGCATTTGGTAATTAAGAGGGCCCTGGTAGCTTTGCAACAGTATCAGTAGGGTGACAAGGATGGAAGAGTAAAGATTGAATGGAGCTTCAGCAAGTGAACGCAAATAAGTCATTCTCAGAGCTTAACTTCAAAGAATAAAAGTTGAGCAGTGGCTGGAAGGAGACCTGGTGTCCAGGAATGATTTTTTTTTTTTAATTAGAAACATAAAATTATATACTAAGGAGACAAAACCAATGGACAGGTTCAGTTTGAAGATAGATAAAGAAAGGACACCAAGGACACAGTGGATCTTGGAGGAGGCAAGAGGTTTTTTATTGGAAAGACAGGTTGATAGAGTAGTATTGCTTAAAGTAGTGCTTCCCAACTGAAGGTGATTTTGCCTTCAAAGAGACATTTGACAATGTCTGAAGACATTTGGTGTCTCAACTGCTGGGAGGAGGATACTACTGGCATCTGGTGGGTGGAGGTCATGGATGTTGCTAATCATCCTAGAAGAAGGAGAACAGCCTCCCTCAACAAAGAATTAGCTGACCAAAAATGTCAACAGTACTGAGCTTAGAGCAGTTCCCCTATAAAACAGGCGCGTGTGATTTATTGATAGGGTTGAAGTCTAGAAATTAAAGATATTTTTATGTTCTGTAAAACAGAAAGCAAGGTTCACATCAAATGAGAGTGGTGAAAAAATGAGATAGGAGCTCAGAAAGAATGGTGACCGCTTGAATTTAAGGAAGGTAGGAGCAAGAGCTCATTTGGGATGTAGGTGGCATAAATCTGTACAGTTGAATTTTTTTTTTTTTTCTTCAGTAATCTCTTCTTCTTAGAATCTAGGGCATAACAGTGGAGAAGGCAGATTTGGCTTAATATATAACTGGAGTTGTGGTGTGATAGGAGAAGGAGGGTAAGATAGCACTGGTAAGAAGTCATTGGAGTGCTACACCATAGAGGATCAACCAGTTGGAAAGGGTATAGAATTGGGAGAAGATTGACTGACTTAGAAAGCAAGCTTCTGTACAAGGTTTCAATAAGCTATCCACACTCAGGTAGAGGCATAGTACAGTAAAGGAGTCAGCAAGCTGGGACTACAGCATTTAAGACCAGAAACTTTTGCTTAGTTAATATTTCAGATATCAAGTTCCAAGTTGTGATAAATTTTTAGAGTATGTGTAAGAACCAAAGTGAAATTAAAGAACATGTTATATTAGAATTGAAGTGGTTGAGGAACTAGGACCCAGAGCATTGAAGAGGTTGTTCCTTTGAACATTTCAATTCCAGGATAGCAAGAGTTGGGATGAAGAGGAAACTAATGAACCAAGAACTGATAGCCTTAATTCTTGGGTGACAGCGTTGATTCTTAGGTGATAGCAGAGGTCTTGACTCTGGCTTCACACTGAAATCAATTTCTAACAAATTAAGAAACTGGACATGGATGATAATTCCCACCCCCACAAATTCATTTTATTGGTCTGGATTGGGTCCTGGGAACAGGCAGATTTCAAAAACTTTCCAGGTGATTTTAATGTGCAGCCAACATTGAGACCATTGTGTAAGAGTGATCAACAAGGTCTGAAGATAATAGTTGCAAAGATAAGTAGATGGTGTTATAGCCAGGTGTCAAGATATCAAAGAAATGCTTTGGAAGTATAGTCACCTGAAGTCAGCAAGAGAGAACTAAGAGGAAGCCTGTGTTAACTCCTGTCTCTCGTGGTTCATAGTTGGATATGTAAGAAGGAACCAGCGTGTCCTGCAGGGAACTGAAAGAAAAATGGTTTCTTGGTGAAATACCAGTTCCAAATGCAGCAAGGATGTATGGTACCTGTTGCTTACAACAGTATGAGGACCATAAGGGATAGAATCAAGAGGCTTGGCAAGGAATTTGACTAAGAACAAACGTTACGTGTGTAATATTACCTATTCATAATTTCTCACTAGAGTTAAGAATTTAGGAAGATGCTTGTCTTAATTGGGTCTGCTGTAACAAATATGCCATAGACTGAGTGGCTTAACATTTCTCACAGTTCTGGAGGCTGGGAAGTTCAAAATCAAGGTGCTGGCAGACCCAGTATCTGGTGATGATCTCCCTGGTTTGCAACTTCATTGTATCCTTACAAGACAGAGAGCTGAGAGAGGAAGCAAACTCTCTTGTGTGTCTTCTTATGAAAGCATTATTATGTTTATGGCAGCTTCACTCTCATGACCTTATTACCTCCCAGATACGTCCTAATACCATCACACTGAGGGTTAGAATTTCAACATATGAATTTGTGGGTAACACAAACATGCAGTCCATAATAATGCTAATCTAAATTCATAATCTAATGACCTTTAATGCAGCAAGAGTATTT